GTGTACGCCTGGCATAAAAGCACTTTTTTTTTTTAAACCGATGAACTAGACGTCACCAAAATCAAAACTTTGGCTCTGCCAAAAACACTGTTAAGAGAATAGGAAAGACAGGCTATATACTAGAAAAATAATACTGACATATATCTAACAAGGTACTAATATCAGGATTACATTAACTGTTCTCAAGCCTGGCATAGTAGTGCATGCCTTATACTCTCAACACTCGGAAAGCTGAGGCAGGAGAATCCTAAGTTCAAGCTTTAATTGGGTTACATAATAAGACCCTGTCTAAATTCAACAACAAATCATTTTTAAAAAGTATGACATGGAGGCTGGAGAGATGGCTCAGTGGTTAAGAGCACTGACTGCTCTTCCAGAGGTCCTGAGTTCAATTCCCAGCACCAACATGGCAGCTCACAACTATCTGAAGATCCAGTTGCAGGGGATCTGACACCTTCACACCAATGCATATGAAATAAAGTTAAACAGAGATCCACCTGCCTCTGCCTCCTGGGTGCTAGGATTAAAGGTATGTGCAAACACCACCCAGCCCCTCAAGGTTTCTTAAGAAAAAACATCTCGATAGAATTGTCAGAGTCCCCAAAATCAACAGGAATAAAAATACATCTTGATTTGTAACCTCGAGCTGAAATGTACTGTATTTCCTTTGGCTATGCATGTATGCACCGAACTATAGTGGCCAAACAGGAATGGTGCTTTAACTGCTTGCAGAATCAGATTCTTCCCATCAGACTCATTACTATGAATCTGCTACTTTATTTGTATATATTAATAAGAACAAATTGATAAATTTGTTTTAAATCATTTTAGGTTTCTTGGGTTGTTTTGTGGGGTTTTTAGAACAAGCAAAGTTTATTTTTAGAGTAAGTCAAGACAGAAGGACAAGCCCCACCGCTGGGACCTGGGCCTATAGTCTTGGTCTACCATCTGTCTTTATCTTGTCTACCCTGTGGGTGGTTACTTTCCTGGAATGGGTAGAAACTTTCACAGACGTCATCTTTAGCCACAATTCACATTACAGTTAGAAATACATTAGACCTAGGGTCTCATATGAAGTATAATTACTACACAGCTGAGCCTGCTAGGGAACGCGCAACGGTTACTATGCTCTTCAGGAAGGGGCTCCACAGGGCCAAATGGAACCTGCTGAGACTAGATTTATTTTTCTCACATCCTGTGCTTCCTTATATCCCACCTGCAAGCACTTACTTGTATTTCCCTAGCATTAGTTTTAACCCTATCATTTCTGCTCCAAACCCCAAGGATTTGAGACTCAGTTAACCAGGGAATGGGTGACGACTGATTTAGCGGTTTCTGCTAAAAGAGGATTGTCATTGGTTGGGCTCTTCTTGAGTCTTGTTATGAGGGGACAGATAAATGGGACATCCAATCTGTCCAGGGGTTCACGGTGAATAAACATTACAATAGCAGTCAAGAGTTGACATACTTTGGCCAACATTTTTTGTAGTGTTAAGGCCTGGAGTGCATTGTAGCTTTTGCCTTTCTTTTATGAACCCTCCTTCCCTGTCTTGGACGAGCTCATCCACAGCTCACACATGATTAGTCTGCTGTCACTGTCACTCACTGAATGGTATTTTGTGATGTCCTCAAAAAATCTTAAAAAACTCTCCAGTTTCATATCTTAGTTGTTTGATAGATAACTGGTTTCTTTATAGTCTAAAATATTTTATTTAATGAAATATTTAAGATATATTAAATATTACACTAAGATAGTATTTATAGACTTCTTTAGACTACCCAAGTGGTCCATGACAAATGAAGGGTTGGAAATTCCTAATATTCTGTCTCCATCTTGCAAAGGTGCTTTAATACTCTCCATACATCCATGACATGTTACAGAATAGTTTATACTCAAAGCAGGTGAATATATAGCTTCTTTTAAGCAATTTCTTTATGTGCACTAGAACTCCGTAACAGTTAAATACATTAAACAGGTCATGTACCTGTAATCCTAGCACATGGGAGGGAGAGGCAGGAAGATCAGGGGTTCACAGCCATCCTTATCCAATGAGTTTGAAGCCAGCCTAGGCGACATGAGACCTCTCCAAATTCAAAACCCAAACAAAAACATTAAATAAATAAATAAATAAATAAATAAATAAATAAATAAAAAATGTCCACCTGGTCACATATACAGATAAGAGATCTTGAACCAGAGAGTACATACTGAACAGGTCACACTTCCTGAAGCAACAGATAACTTACCTTAAAGGGGAAAAAAAGCACCATTTACATTTCAAAATAACAGGATCTCATAGTCATGTCAAAGTTTATCAAAATATATAGCAGTATAAGATGTTTACCTCTGTCTTTTAAATATACCATCCACATATTAAAATATTTCATTTTGGGCTGGAGAGATGGCTCAGAGGTTAAGAGCACTGCCTGTTCTTCCAAAGGTCCTGAGTTCAATTCCCAGCAACCACATGGTGGCTCACAACCATCTGTAATGAGATCTGTTGCCCTCTTCTGTCCTGCAGGCATACACACAGACAGAATATTGTATACATAATAAATAAATATTTTAAAAAAATAAATAAATAAAATATTTCATTTTATTCACTTAAAAAGTAAAAGAAAGGGAGAGATAGAAGGTGGGAAAGGAAAAGAAAAAAAATCTTGAAAATTAACAAACCGGCTAGATCCAAAAGGTAAAGCTCATCAATCTTTTGGGTTACATGTCAGCAAACAGCAACCAAATGAGCTGGGCAGCCACTCAAACAACGGCAATGCCTCAAGAGTGGAGGGCAGTGAGAGGGCCTAAACCAAAATGACAGCAAATGCTACTGTGAATCCAAAGGCTGCCAGAGACAGATTTTGTGTGTGTGTGTGACCTAGAGACAATCTGGCAAAAATTATGGGGGTAAAAAGGGACTTAAAGAAAGTAGGGTCAGCAAAAAAAGTCCCGGCCACATCTACTCAATCAATGTCCCACTTAAAGGTGGGAGAGAACTGACTCCAGTGGTCCCTCTGATCTCTAGTACCTGCACCTCTCCAGCTCAACACACTAATAATAAACATTTTTAAAGAAATGTAAATATGTCAAATGTTATAATAAATAATACATAAGCAATTCTATTATAAAGGCATCAAGTTCATTCTATCAATAAAATATATTAGCTTAAATTTTTCAATAGAGTATACCCCTAACTTTATAATAGAAATGAAGTAATAAATTCCATTTCCTTGCCACTATTTGCCACCAAAATTAAATGTTTCCATAGAAAAATAGTCAAGTCCACTTGGTTGACTGGCCCTCTCCTACCTTCCAGCCACTTTTGGTTTTCCAGGCTGGCCTTAACATACTATGTCATGGTATTCACAATCTTCCTGTCTCAGCCTCTTGAATGCTAGGATTTCATATGTGAGTTACCATACATGGCTGAATATTATTTCCATTTCATACGTGTAAGTATATCTATATTTTAAGATAACAAAAACAAGGGTGCTTTGTTGGGCATGGTGGCACATGCCTAGAGCATTTGGGAGGCAGAGGCAGACAGAGCTCTTTGTTCAAGGCTAGCCTGATCTACACAGTGAGTTCCAGGCCAGTCAAGTCAACAGAGTAAGAAAATATCTTTAAAAAAATAACAATAACAACTTTTAATTTGCATTATTTTGGCATATCTACAGCCAACATCTTGAAATCTTTTCATTATAAGCAGTGAAAAATCAAGTCTTTGGATTATTTTTCCTAATCACAGGGGTCAGTGTATATTCATTATCGAGAACCTATAAAGTACAAAATTTAAATGAGCTCCCTATTATCTACTGCAAACATTTTATTTCCTCTATTGGTATTCTCATACTAGTAATGTTAATCAGTCCTTACTGACAACTTCTATTACGGGCTAGGTTTGAAGTGTCCTTCTAAAAGCTCATACATTAGGAACTAGAGAGGTGACTTGGTGGTTGGGAACATTGGCTGCTCTTGCAGAGAACCAGGGTTCAATTCACAGCACTCACAAGCACCTGTAACTCTAGTTCCAGGGAATCTGATGCCCTCTTCTGATCTCTACTGGCACCAGGGACATATGTGGTACCTATAATACATACAGCCAAAACACTCATATGCACAAAGTAAGATTTTAAAAAGTAAACAGAGAGCTGTGGCAATAGCTTAATCAATGCTAGAGCACTTGCTTGGAAGATCCTGTACACTGAAAGTTGATTTGGAGCATAAGGAATATGACCTAATCAATAGATTATTCTGAATATGATGGATTCTGAATATGATGACCTTTGGAAAGTGTTTCAAATATCTAGAGACGTGAACTAGTGGAATGGGTAGGGTTCTGTTCTCAGAACTACATCTTATTCCAATCCCCTCCTTCCCTCTCTGATGCCTGGCAACTGTAAGGCAAGCAGCTCTGCTCAGCTACCATGACATTTTTGCTCAGACAGACAGAGAAGTAATAGAGCTAGCACTGCAGTCCACAGACTAAAATCTCTAAAACCATGAGCCAGTTTCCTCCCTTAAACTGTTTCTCTTGTATATGAAACAGCATCGAAACTGACAGAATTTCTCTTATGCTGTTAGGCTAAAACCTTTATAACATTGTGTCTGTACAAAAATTCTACTCAAATCATAGGTGAATATTAACATTTACAGTCTTATCATCCAGATTTAAAGAGGTTAAGAACTATGCCCATAGACATAGGGAAGAGGTAGAGTTGAACCCAGCATCCATGAACACTGTACCACTTTAGTCCATAATTAATGTACACATAGTACTGCATTCTTCTTTGGCCACAATTTCCTAATGCACAGAAATTATGAATAGTTTACTCATAGCTATTTTATAACATTTGAATATATGATAATTAATCTTGCTTAACCAGATCAGATTATTTTTGTATAGTATTTGAAACAGTGTGATTCATTCAACAGGAAAAAAAAGTAAACATGAGACTTGTTTCATACTTCTAAGTAAATTAAAATATGTAATTCAACTTACTCTTTTACTGAGGCAAATAACTGGCCACATACTGCAGCCTAACGTGCAGCAGCAGCACAGGCAGCCACAAAGCAACCACCGCACATTCACAGGAAGATTCTTCCTGAGACAGCTGTTAACTCTGTTGATGCTGGCTTTAAATTCTTCAGGAGCTACCTACAGGACAGTAAGAAATGTAACTGAGATGCTGAATGACAGAAATGGGACTCAGCACACATTTTTCTAATTTCCAAGGAAAACTAATTTGAGATATATAAACAGTAGATCAATAAGAGACACTTGCTGGGCAGTGATAACGTACACCTTTAATCCCACGGAGGCAGAGACAGGTGATCTCTGAGTTTGAGGCCAGCCTGGTCTACAGAGAGAACATTTCCGGACAGCCAGGGTTACACAGAGAAACCCTGTCTTGGAAACCAAGAAATAAAAAAAAAAAGAGAGAGAGAGACACTCACCTTTCCAGTTAATGAAGATGGGAATTCTGATTCAAATTTGTTGCTCAATCCAAATCTATTAAAAGAAAAAATGTTATTATATGACACCGTGGCAACAGAACAAAAGTTTGAACTACCTAACTTAAAGGTGAAATGAACAGAATGCGGACCCTACAGAGTGTCTAAGACAGAATTGTCATAACGAGCAACTTACAAAATGCAGCATGTAATGACTTTTCCAATGGAATCAAAACTTATATGAGGGACAATTAAATAACCAGCAATATATAAGCAAAAGAATAAGTAAAAGAATGGTTTGTTTCATTTGAGCTATTACGTATACCTTAAAAGCATCAAAGCATATTTTACACAGATAGCAAATTTTCTAGCTTTCACTGTTTTGAATTCGTAGTGCATTTTGTCTTTTAAATACCAAACTACAAGAACCCAACTGCTTCCATTTATTTCACTCTAGAATGAAAATTCTAAGATAGGAACATTTTATAATGATATTAATTGCACCACATCTGACAATGTATTACAGCTAAAACCACATACACTAGACAAGACAATCCATTAAGCAAGCCCATTTCTTGAACAACTAACTAGGACTCTGAACTCGGGACAATGACCCCACAAATGAGCATTTGCTTTAAGATCACTTCATCCCAGCACTGGCTAGCAGCAAAAGGGGTTAGTAGGACCTAACAGGGCTGTGCAACTCAGAAGGGGCTTTTTTCTCTTGACATTTCTGAGTATAAGGTATAAATAGATGGTTTCACCGGTAAGGGCTGAAATATACAAAAACTGAATCTACTGCAGTTGCTGACAGTAGAAAGCAGAAACTGTCCAGTGAAGGAGTCAGCAGTTCACACTGCAACAGCAGAGCAGGAATGGTCAAGTATGCAAACCACCATGATAGGGCATTAGACCAGGAGCTGAAGACAGTACAGAGAAAAAGAGTAAAACCACTCAAGTCCATGCCTGTGTGCACGTCTGTGTGAAGGTGTCAGATCCCCTGGAACTGGAGTTACAGACAGCTGTGAGCTGCCATGTGGGTGCTGGGAGTTGAACCTAGGTCCTCCGAAAGAGCGGCCTATGCTCCTAACTGCTGAGCCATCTCTCCAGCCCCATTCCCCAAAGCATTCTTAAATGAAATCCTACTTCTTAAATCCCCTTAAGTACTTTTGTTTTTTATAATCTAATAAAGCCTCATCATTCACTTTTTTGTTGTTGTTGTTTTTGTTTTTTTTTTCAAGGTTTTGGAGCTGTCCTGGAACCCACTTTGTAGACCAGGCTGGCCTCGAATTCACAGAGATCTGTCTGCCTCTGCCTCCAAGTACTGGGATTAAAGGTGCACGCCACCACTGCCTGGCCAGCATTCACGTTTAAAAAAGAAAAGAGAGCCGGGCGGTGGTGGCACACGCCTTTAATCCCAGCACTTGGGAGGCAGAGGCAGGCGGATCTCTGTGAGTTCGAGACCAGCCTGGTCTACAAGAGCTAGTTCCAGGACAGGCTCCAAAACCACAGAGAAACCCTGTCTCGAAAAACCAAAAAAAAAAAAAAAAGAAAAAAAAAAAGAGAGAGAGAGAATCAACTCTTTTTTAAATTTATTTTTTTTATTTTATGTCCATTGATTGTTGTTTTGCTATTGGTGTCAGGTCCTCTGGAACTGGAATTACAGACAGTTGTGGGCTGCCATGTGGATGCTGGTAATTGAACCTGGGTCCTCTGTAAGAGCAGTCAGTGCTCTTAACCACCGAGCCATCTCTCCAACCCCCATCATTCTCAGTTTTAAGATTCCATAATGATAGTGGCAAAGGCTCCCAATATAATCCTTAATGAAAAGACACAAAAAAACTAAAACATTATTACTTAAATTTTAAATTTAACTATTGACATATGAAAACTAAAATCAAATCCATCCAAATACTAATGGTAGCTAATCCTGGATAATGAAGATTATGGATGGCATTTTTTATTTTTATGTTTTCCATGACTTCTCTAATAAAATCTATTAGTATTTAAGACTAAATTTAAAGACTAAGGATAGGACTGGGGACATTAGCCTGAGCCTGAGTTTGGATCCCCAGAACACACATTAAAAGTCAAGCACAGCACCTGTAAACACAGCACTCAGGGGATAAAAGAGGAGGAAGCTAGCTCATGAGCTTCAGGTTCAGTGAGTTTCTATCTCAGAAAATAAAGGCAGTGAGGGTAATACGGGAGATAGCCCACGTCTACCTCTTGCCTCAATGTGTGTTTACATACACACACAACATAAAAAAGTACATATAATACATGCACACACACACTCAACTGTACAACTGTATACATTTTAAAAGTACATACAACACACACAATACACATAAACACACACAAGAAACAGAAAGAAAAAACCTAGGAACAACTACACAAAAAAGAAGAGCCTTTTGCATCTCAGTAATCCTAAATTTCATTTTCTGCTTCACTGGGAAATACAACTTTCTAATATTTAAGTAATCTTTATGCCTTTCCTTATAATTAGAAAAAAAATTAAAATATTAAGAAAAATAGATGATGAGAGAGTTTTGTTTTTAAGACAGAATATGGAAATGTATGTTCAAGAGACATACCTATATTTAGAGATAATTCCAGTAGCCTGAGTGTATTTCAGGGCTGGGAATATAGCTCAGTTACTAACACTCATGAAGTTGCCTAGCTAGCATACATTTAGCCCTGAGTTCAATCCCCAGCACTACATAAAGTAGGTGTGGTTACACATCCACAATGCTAGAACTCGGGAAGTGTGGGCAGGAAGATCAGGAATTCAAGATCACTTTCAGCTACAGAGGGAGTTCATTGTCCAGCCCAAGCTACAAGAGAACCTATCTTAAAACAAACAAAAAAGCCAACCAAAAATAAACAAATGAGTGTATTTAAAGGTTTGTTTGCTTGTTTGGTAGTTTTTTTTTTGGTTGTTGTTGGTTGTTTGTTGGTTTTGGTTTTTTGAGACAGGGTTTCTCTGCACCCTACCCACCCCCACATTGTCTGTAGACCAGGCTCAAATTCAGAGACTACCTGCCTCAGCCTCTTGAGTGCTGGAATTGAAGGCTATACAGTTCTACATCTTAAACAGAAAGTAGGAGACACCAACCATTAAAATCATCTTGTTTTTGTCATTTTGATTTTGGGGTTTTAATTCTTATTTGTACGTATGTGTCTCTGTGTAGCCTCCTTTACCTTGGTCTACCTATTCTTTTGAGGCAATGTCTTTCTTCCTGAACCTGGGCTTTGCTCTTTCTCTGCTAGTCTGGTATAAGAAAGTTTCCCCAATTCTCCGTCTCTGCTCCTTTGTAGCCTGAGTCACAAGCATGCTCATAGGTGCTGAGGTCCCATTTGTGTCTACTGATTACACAGCAAGTGTTCTTTTATTTTTTATTTTTTTTATATTTATTTATTATGTATACAATATTCTGCCTGTGTATCTGCCTGCAGGCCAGAAGAGGGCACAGAACCCATTACAGATGGTTGTAAGCCACCATGTGGATGCTGGGAATTGAACTCAGGACCTTTGGAAGAGCAGGCAATGCTCTTAACCTCTGAGCCATTTCTCCAGCCCGCAAGTGTTCTTTTTACATACCTCTTACATACCTCTCTGTTGCTCTCTGTTTTTTAGAAGATTTACTTATGTTTCTGAGTGTTTTGCCTGTGTGTATGTCTGAGCACCATTGTGTGCATGGTGCCAAAGGGTTCTGAAGAGAGTCTCAGATAACCTGGACCTGGAGTTAGAGATGGTTATGAGTCACCATGTGAGTCTTGGGAATTGAACACAGGTCCACCATAAAAGCAACAATCCTCTTAACTGATGAGCCCTCCCTCCTCTCTGCCACCCATAAAGCCCCTTGAAATTTCCAGCTTTTCACCAACCAAGGTCAAGAGGTAGAATATAAAAAGTAAAACATGCTCATTTCAAGAAAACTAGACAGTAACAGCAGGCTCACAATGGCAAGCGTGCAGCCAGCAACCCAATGAGGTAGACAAAAACTGGCAAGTACAAAAAGCTAACGTGGTACAGTTGGAAGAGTAATACAATGGAGAGAGAGTGCCTGAATTTTAATCCTGGTCTAAATATCAATTCATCATATTATCGGAAAAGTAAATCTCCCCTGCAATTTTATCTGTCTCACATAAGACAGTGCACCAAGCTAATGCGGTGCTGAACTAAGTTGTTAGTTTCTACAGTGCTAAGGACGACATCCAGAGCCCTGGCAATCCATTTCTAATAAAGCTCCATCCCAGTGCCATCTCTAATTCTAGTTATTTATTTATTTACTTACTTATTTATCAAGTTATAGTCTCACTGTATAGGTCAGTGTGGCAATGGAACTAACTAGTAAGCCTCCTGTCTTAACACCCCCATTTCTAAGTTTTAGTGTGTATGTGTGTGTGTGTATGTGTGTGTGTGTATGTGCGTGTGTGCATGTGCGTGTGTGCATGCTTGTATGGTGTGTATGCTAGCTAGTTTTATGTCAGCTTGATACAAGCTAGAAATATCTGAAAGGACGGAACCTTAATTGAGAAAATGCCTCCATAAAATCTTGCTATAGGGCATTTTCTTAATGATGAGGGAGGGCCTAGCCCATAGTGGGTGGTGCAACCCCTGGGTTCTATAAGAAAACAGGCTAAGCCAGACATGATAAACAAGCCAGAAAACAGCACCCCTCCATGGCCTCTGCATCAGCTCCTGCTCCAGGTTCCTGCCCTGTTTGAGTTCCTGTCCCAGCTTCCTTCAGTAATGAACAATGACATGGAAGTGTAAGCTGAATAAACCCTTTTCTCGAGATTGCTTTGGTCATGGTGTTTCGTTTTAGAGCAACAGAAACCCTAATTAAGACAGTCTACATTCTTGGGCACATATGTGCCACAGGGCTCATATGGAGGTCGGGGACACTTTTGTGGGATTGGGGTTTCTCCTTCCACCTTTACATGGGTTCCAGAGATCAAACTCAGGTTCTAGACTTGGATAACAGTCATGTTTACACACTGAGCTATCTCATGGACCCAACTCCCCCCCCCCTTTTTTTGAGAGAGAGA